CTTTTTCCAAGAACACAGAAACATAATGAGTCAGTTTTGTTGCCTTGTAGAGATTCTAAAACATGGGGGTAGGATGGGGTAGTTGGTTACAGATTCTAAAACGTACTCCCCATAATACTGATTTGAACAGGTCTGCATTTTAGCCACAGGTCTGCATTTTAGCAGTCTTCTCCCACCACTTGATGGGTTTGGCATGCAGATGATCTTTGATCATTGTGAGAAACACTCACTAAAATCAGAATAGGTCAGAAAATTTTCTTTGCTATACAGACCCCACTTTTTGTCTTACTTCTAACTCCACTTTTTACTTTTCTCCATCTTTCCACCCATCTCTGACATTTTCAGGTCCAATCAGCACAGAATACATCTATACCTCAAAACTATGGGCATTCCGTTCCTCTCCTGAGCTAATCCTTTCTCTCCTCTTCTACCTGGAGAACTCTCATCTACTTATCCATGAAGGTTCAAAAAAATATTACTCCCTTTATGAAGTTTCCTCTTCCCCCTTCTCTTCAGGAATGCCCACATCACCTTGTATATATTTCTGTTACAGTGATTATTAAAACCTATAATTACTGTTACAGTTACTGATTATGGTTCTGTTTTCCATGCTAATTCCATGTCCATTCACTGGACAGTAAATATCACATATTATTTACTCAATAAACACTTGTTGAATTATAATCTGATACTAGAATCACCTCTAGAGGTGCTAGCATTTATCATTGTTATTTTGAGACAAACATAATCCTAATATCTCTAATATTCCTTTCATAATTTATACTGTTTGACAACATTTTATCTAAGTTCTACTTGAACTTTTTTGGGAAAAATTATTTCTAAGAGAACACAGACTGATCATGCTATTTCATCATTCCCATATATATAAATTTTGCTTTTGAAAGTGATTTCCTGAGATGGCATATTCTAGAAATTCATTTTTATGCCATGATAGGAAATTAAGAAACATTTTACTGGGTGATGTAAACTAAGTCTTCAGAATCTAGGATAGGTGAAAAACCAGTTCTACTCATGGAATTCCAGTCTATTAGAAAAGCCAAAGTAATAACTTAGAAGGAATTTGGATGGCAAGAAATACAAGAAATAGTGCTCTCTAAATGATGCAAAGTATACACTGCAAATCATCTATGAATCTACAGCACCAGAGAAGCTTTCAAACATAAGTGTGCTTTGTTGTCAATGTGGGCAAATCATGCCCAGATGAATACCCTCTTTCCAAGTGCACTGGGGAAGGAAACTTACATAATCGTGTGAGGTTTTAGTGATTAAACCTTCTCAACATTGGCTGTTTGAGAGCAAAGTCTGACATAATTCCTGCTCAGTACACAGAGAACCTTCTGGAAGGATCCCTCTCTGTCCTGCTCGATGATCTGCAGGGCCTGAGTGAGGCCATTTCCAAAGAGGAAGCTATCTCTCAAGGAGACAACCAGAACTGTCCTGCTCCAGTCTGCCGCTGAGCAGCCAGACACTGCGCAGCTGGGGGCTCAAGGGGGGTGGGGGCAGGGAGGTCAGCCAGCTGCCCTCATGGACACCAGCCACCAAATGCCTGTGAATCCTGTGGCTTAATAAAGATGACTACAGAAAAAAAAAAAAAATTTTTCCCAGAGAGGGAAAATTGTCCTGCTTACGTGGATTCTCTAGCTTATGGGCATTTCTTCACGGCCATCAATATTTCTAAATCTGTCACTGGTAACATAATCCCTTTCCACTTTTGTCAGAAAATCAGAATGTATCAGAGATAGAGTCTCCTGTCCCTAATTCCTTCCCTTTTATTTATTTCTCTTCTGCTGGCTGTGAGTGATGATATGATCTTTCGTATAACTGAGAAAATGGCTGCCTGATTACATCTTAATAAATAATCTTTACACTTCACTCTCTTGCAGCCTCCTCAACTCTTCTAAACAGGTCTATCATATATTATAAAGTCAGCAAATGATTAAAAGGAAGGGCTCAGGAAAGGTATGGGACTGGATTATATGCAAATATTTTGATGTGTCGCTCTGACACATGGTATATCTAAACACAAGACCTCCTCTGCAAGATTTACAATTCCATGGTCTTGATGACCTGAAATGCTTCCCTGCTCTCCTTATGTGCAGTAACAAAAATCTAAACCACTGCTGTGTTCCAAGTGAGCTGAAGCTCTCAGATTCTCAAAAAGCCTTCCCAGTGCAATCCAGTCTACCCAACATCACAAGGATATATCTTAGTTCTTTAGACATGTACTGTCTTTGCCTCTAAGTTAACATTTGGCACATGTCTAGACACCCAAAAAGGTTGCATATTCCTCAAGAGCAGGAGCCAGGCCCTATATGTGTTCTATCCCGCATAACACATCCCTTAATACCCACCAATTCTCTACTCATCAACTCTTAACCAATACCACAAAAGAATTCCTACAATACTGCATAAGTAGTTTTTAATTTTACATTCCCAGTGATATGTAGATCCATCCATTACCTAGTAGTTAAGGATTTTTTTAATCTCGAAATATCAGAACAACAAAATTATGGAGTTAAAAAAACAAATCAATCTTCCAAATCAAGACATAGCTAACTAGGGATGCCTATGTGGCTCAGTCGTTAAGCGTCTGCCTTCAGCTCAGGTCATGATCCCAGGGTCCTGGGATCGAGCTCCGCATTGTGCTCCCTGCTCAGCAGGAAAGCCTGCTTCTCCCTCTCCCACTCCTCCTGCTTGTGTTCCTCTCTTGCTCTCTCTCTCTCTCTGTCAAATAAATAACTAAAAGCTTTAAAAAAAAAGACATAGCTAACTATCACAGGTTTGATATTGTCCATTTAAAAGAACAGAGCCCACTTGTTAACCAAATAACACTACATCAAATATAGGGTACATTCTAAAACCTACTTTGGACTGAACTTTTCTTTCTGGTCTATAGAATGCTAGGTCTCATACAAAAACAATGTCTCATCAACTATTCAGTCTTTTTCCCATAAGCAATTTCTTAAAAAATATATTATAAAACCACACAATTTTAGAGCAGGGTACTTTAGGATATATCCTGTAGATGATCAATCACCACTTTACAAAGAAAACTGAAGCCCAAGAGATCTAAGTAATTCTCTTTCAGTTACCTAATTAGTGACAGAAATGAAATTACTATTACCAGTGTTGAGACCCCAAATTAATTCAACTTCTGTTACACTTCAGTGTTTTATTTACAGCACAATATATAGTATTTTTAAATTAGAACTTTAATACATACAAATAAATTAAAAAATAATGAACACCACTATAAATGAAACATGCACATGAAGATAAACAAGTGCATGCACAATGCATTCCATGATAGACTCTCTGAATTTGCACAAGTGCACAACACAACTGTTCTTAACTCACGAAGTTAAAGATGATTGTTTGTAAATATGAGCATTCCTTACCTGGCAGCTGTATGAAGGGTTGATAAAAGACATTAAAAACTTGAGCTATAGTTAGACATTAGATTTTTCTGGCACTGAAGGTCTCCTTCTACCTGGGTTTGAGGGGCTAGCATTTTTAAAGGAAGGTAGGCCAAAGACTTGAGAGAGATCACCCAATATATAAGACTTTGGCATTGTTCCCCACATTGCAATATTAAGTTGACTATAGGTGATTATCACCTAAGTCTTCCTATTGGCCAGTTATGGCTCTATTTTTCATTATTGTACCTGAAATCTCTACCATTACAGTCACTTCTTTAAGTTAGAAAGTGTAGGTGGGAAAATTACTTCAGAACTTGCCATGCTGCTTCACCCCAGGTAATGAAAAGAACAGGATTAGCTCTAGTACTTTTGAGCTCTAAGAATGCATAACTTGGTGGGGCAGGAGGGAGAGAGGTTTCTACATATAACAGAAAAGCTAATGATGAGAAAGGACTCTTCCTTTTAAACTGCCTCCAATGTTCCAACACCAATATCCACACATAGTTAACTAGGGATGTACACTTTGAAGAAAATGAATGATATCCTCTTAACATATTTCCTAATACCCATGATCCACACCAAAAAGCTTTTATCCCACCCCATGAAAACTAACAGGGCCTCACATTCTGATGGTCAAACCCTTTTAAAAACACCCATCCTGATGCTTCAACATCCTTTAAAGATTTAACCACCTCCATGAACTTCCTTTGCCCTTTTATATAAAAGCTGACATCTTGACAGTTTTAATAGGTACCCTGGAGAGAACAAGGCAAGTGGAGGAAAAATGCTCACTCCAGTTGATTTTTTTCTTTCTAAATACTAAGGCATACAAAAGAAGTAATCGTATTATAGAAACCCAAATGAAACAAAGAACAGTGACATTTCACAGCTCTTAACTACGAAGAAATCTTACAAAACAGCGTCAGTGTTATGACATACAACATCAACAAAAAAGTTAGCAAATTTGGCTGTGACACCTTGAAATGGCTGCAACCTTAATCTTGCAAGAGTGGTGCCTCCTTTGTTTTAAATATTATTTTCTTTACATTAGAATGTTTTCATTTGTTTACATCAAAACCAAGTTTGTTAATTCTTTATATGTCAGTTTCTTCACAATTTTACCCCACAATTTTAAAAGAGCAGACTGATTCTCTGCCAACATCAATAAAGGATATTTTGTGACCCTGGAATCTTTCAAATGAAGAAGAACACATTCTCTTAACTAGCCTTCCTTAAAGAAGCTCACCAAAGAACTACAGAATGGATTCATTCCACATATGCGTGACTTTCAGTCCCAAAGGGAAGAAAGACTAAGAAATAAAGGAATGAAATACCATTTCTACATCTCAAGTTTAGATCATGCTTGAAGAATATATCTGTGCTGTGGAATTCTCAAAACATACAAAGAATAAATAAGTAGATCCTTTGCCCAAAGTTGGTTAATAGTAAATAAAGAAGACTTGAGTGGTCACATCTTTATTTCTTTGAATCCCCATCCACCTGCTTTCAAAATTAATGTTTACAATGAGACAGATTACATTAGAAAGCAAAGTTACTCACCATGGAGGAATCACTGCTTCCACTCCCGATCGGAGCTCCCTCAGCACAGGTTGGGAGGTGGGTAGAAAGTTGACTAGCCCTGCCCCCATCTATGACATCACAATCTACCTCATAAAAGGTAGTGAAAGTGCTCTGAACTCCTGTCTGATTTCCGAGAGATACAGAAAAGAGTGAGTGAGAGAGAGAGCAAGAGAAAAATAAAAAACCGTACCCTATTGGGAAGGGATTAGGGAAGTGGAAGAGGGAGTGGGTCATTGGGTGAAAGAGGCATATGAAGGAATTAGGTGCTGAAAGAGATAAGGGTGGGCATCCATGATATTAAGCAGCCCAGCCATATGAATTCCTCATTGGCTCTCTTGAACAGATAAATGGACCATCTGGGAGAAGGAGAATGAAGAAGCACCCCGCCTTGTCAGGCATTGTCAGGGACAATCATAGTGGGGTTCAAAGGGGATGAAACCCCTGTTTAAAGCATTGAAGATCACCAAGAGAGAAAGCAAGGGCTGCAGCTCTTAAAGCCTGGAACGGTATGCGGGGAATCTCAGATGTCTTTCTTGGAAGTTCCATTGCCCTGCTGTGTGACCTTCATCAAGCCCTTGGCCTCTGCATCTCCAGCCAGTACATGGTACTAAAAGGATACTTACCCTTTTTACTGGAATCACTGAAGAACTAATGCATTCACTGTTGCTACAACTGCAACTCTTTTTACTCTTCCTTTTTGTACCCAAGGAGGGGCTGTGTGACAGGCACATTTTAAAAGATAAGCCAAAAACCAATGCCTATTTCTACTTCTTAAAATGTTATCTTCAGCATAAAATATTACTGTCAATCTTGACCAGGTTTTCTGTGTGTACAGAATATAACATATATCTAAATGGGGTTATTAGAGCCCACCTTCAAAATTGAAGAAAAATCAGGATTTCTATAACCATAGGGTCCCTATACTGCCACAGTCAACGGTCAAGTTTAAGTGACCCAGTGATGCTAACTGACCAAACATTTGTGTCACATGCAGGAAAGCTAAAGTCATATAGCTTTATTTAAACTCTGAGTCCATTTGCGGGGGTGGGGGGGTGGGGGTGGGGAGTAAATCAGGCAAGATGGGAGAATAATATGGAGAACACTAAGATCCTTTTTTTTAAATGGAGATTTAGAAGTTAAAAATGATGAACCACTCAAAGTTGTCAAGTGGGTAGTCTGATAAAACAAAAAAGGGGTGATATTGAAGAGCAGGTAGGTCCAGAAACCATCCACATGGAAGCCAGATTTTTATCTGCCTGGTGGGATATATGAAAAGTGAAACCCACTCTTTCCACAGAAAATATTTTAGTAAAAGTAATAGCTTACAATTCATGGCATCATGGCATCATAAATGGGTAAAGCTCAAAGAAAGCTTGTTTCTATATGCAGATAAAAAATATTCTTTATTTAAAATTTTTTCTTATGTTTCAAGCAAATATAATTCTATTTTTAGTCCTGCCATTCTTAGCTCACTAAATATGTAAGTGTATTAAATAATCACAATTTAAAAATTAAGCAAAATCAGCAGGTTAGGAGCATTTTGAAACACAGATGCTACTACATTCAAGCTGATAATGGATTTGGCAACATTACTCCCATCTTTCACTTCAAAATAAATGTTAGAGACATTTAAAGAATGTCTTTAGAGAATTAAAGACAATAGAAAAAAAATATCTGGAATGTATTAAGAAAAAATGGAATTTTTCTTATACTTGACGTTTTCTGTGCTTATTAGAGAAAGCAGTGATATTCTGCATGTTTCCCTCTCTGTATTATTGTATTTCTATTTTCAGTAATACTAAATCTAAATTCAAATTCTGTAGTCAACAGCTCTTTTTCTGTGGGTTTTCACACTTAATGGCCCTATGAAGCCTTATTTTCTTCCTATTTTTACTTATTGGATCATTGACTAGTTGGCTTATCCTTGCTTTTTTATGCTTTATAATGATCCCATTTGATTTAGAAATTAGGCATCTCCTGACTTTACCATTATAGGGAATGTGCTATTCATTTACCATTATTTCTCAGTTTCAGAAACTAATCTTTTGTATTAGAAACTTATTTGTGTCATCTCACCTTTCATACAAAATTTAAAGTTCATTATTTTAAGATTACTTATGGCAATTGTTCATTCTTCCAATAAACACCTTAAAAATTTTACTACCCAACAAAAAAGGTACACATCTGCCAATGTTAAGATATCAGAATAAAAATGGAGTTAAACACTTTGTAAATATTGAAATAAAACTAACTTATAATCTACTGATATTTCTTATTATCTACTGCTTATTTGGAAATGGAGCATGACTTCAGGAACCCAATGCAAAACTAGGCTGCATCAAAAGGATGCAGAGTGGTGAACTGTGCTGACTTTTTAGGTGAATTTAGTATGATTGATTGCAATAATGTCTTTAGTTATATTAGTTAAAAAAAATTTCTTTGACACAGAATGCAATGCCAGGATCAGATAATTTCCAACTCTTCTTAGGATCTAGCCTCTTGACATTTTTATGAAAACTAAGTGTCACTACAATTATGGGGTTGATGCATACTTTCTATGATATCATATAAATGGATGAGTTAGCCTTTCAAGACAAGGTATGAAGTGATTGTAAGATTTCAGTCAAGAGACCCCATTATTGAAGTCACGGTTATAACTTTATTCTGAACAGAGATGTAGGATTGGTTTCAAAATTTTGCTTGTTGAAAAAGTGTTTTTATTTGACTTAGTGCAAAAGATAAAGAAAAGTCAGGTGGAATAATTTGTACATTCTGAAAGAATAATCTGGAGGTGTATTTATAAAGTAATTAATCGTGGAAGACATGATCAGGTAGTTGGCATGCAATCTGACCAAAATGTTATTATTGAAGAGAAATAGCAAGACAGAATCCAAATAATTTTGATAGCAACAGATTTGAACTGGGAGTTCCTAGATAAAGAGATTCTATTCTGAGTTTGTTTTATCATAATGTCTCATATACAGAACCTTGAACTTAAAAGAGTACATGGTTCTTATAAGATGATGCTGACTGGAACTTCTCCAGGAACTTCTCTAAGCTGAGAAATAGATTTGCAGAAGGAAATGGATGAAAGAGGTCAAGATACAGATTGTGCAGATTTGACAGAAGATCTAGCCAGAGTTCCCACCAAGTTCATTATCAGCAAGGCATCTGCACAGATGAAGGTATTCAGAGAAAAGCAATAAAATAAGATATAGTATTGGTGATGAAAGAAAAGATTAAAGTCTAAATTAAGTAAGACTTGCCTTCAAGAAAATTGGATTAGGATGAAATATTTGAAATATATTTATTGCCCACAAAGAAAATGACTGTTCAAGATAGAGTAAGACAATCTGTTCTGAAGCAGGAAAAGAAATCTGAACTAAGAAAACTACACACTGCCCATCCAGAAGTCTTTCCTATTTGTAAGATACATGGGCCATAACATGGCACATATTTCTCTCCTAAGGGCTGTGATAAAAGCCATATTTTATAAATCATTTAAATTAAGCTGGAGAAAGCATTTGACAAAATAATCTGTAGGGAAAGAATGAGAAGATAGTAAGTTAAACACACTTTTATTTCTAGAATATAGTAAATCAAGAACAACAGTGAATACACAGAGATAGCCATCAACAGACACCCTGCTATTCTTGCTGAGAAAGCTAAACAGGATGATGAGAAACTAAATGGAAAAAAAAAAAAGAAAACCCAATGGACTACACAATCTAACAAAAGCACAGTGGACAGAAAAATTTATCCTCTTCATGGAAATTATTTGCTACTAGAAATGAAGGACTTTGAATACCTTCACCCAACCAATATTTAGCACTGTGCCTTTTAAGGAGTTGCAACACCCCAGAAATGTTGTTCGATGAATCAGAAAATATCCTTATGTGAACAGGAAGTATATAACTCTTTGAAGCCCTGATTGCTGGTTTGTCACTAGAAATTAGGAACAACATACGGAAATGCTAATCTTTTTCTAGAAAAATAGGATTGTCAAAATTTTATCAAATCTAGTACCAAACATAAAATCCAGTCTCAGTTTTGCTATGGAGTCTCTTAATTTCCTTTATTTTGAGTCATCTGAGGTAATGGAAAATTGTGCAAAATCAGTCATGAGATTCCCCAGATAATATTTAGTATAAGATTTTAATATTCATCTTCTCTTATTTATTTATATATTTTTTATATCAACTTATTCACATTTTAGCTTCTTCTTCTTCCAACTGCCTTCAGTCCAGGAATTCTTGAGGTATATCCAAGTAGGAACAAGGAAACAAAATCACAGTGGATTTAGGTAACCAATTCAAAATAATGTATTTCTTGACTAAAGCTGACCAATCCAAGTGTACACAGGAAAACCAGAAAGCATAAACTAAATTACAGATGCTGTTTCTAAATAAAGGTATTCTATCCAACACTGTGGCTTCCCATAATTATTTGGTTCAATTTAAGGGAACAGGTTATTATCTGGATTTGTTCTCACATATCCAAAACTAGTTAAAAATGAGGAGACAGCTCCTAAGACACTACTATAAACATTAATTATTTAAAATATATTAATGAAGAAAGAACATCTTAGGATGAAATCAATTATAACAGTATCTCAAAATTAGAATATGTCTCATGGGAAAATGTTATAAAACAAGTACTTCTTCAATAGGTTTGCCTGTGTTGCACAGATATCAAAAGCTATGCAAAATTAGTGTTCCTCATCCAGGTACCTCCCATGTGTCTAATTTCCAAGTTTTCATAAAATATTACTCATCATTGGCTGCCAAATAATGGTCGAATATTAACTGAAATCTAAAACATTAATTTCTAATAGATTAAGGTGTGAATTATTTGCCTTCTTTTTAATTCGAGGCTTTTAAAACTTGAATAGCTTCTAAAACCTAAAGGAATGCAAGTGCACTGACTGAAGGACAAGTAATGGCACTGACATTTCTGAGGCAGAGACATTCTTCATAAAGCCACTAGCCACTTCTACTTTAATGCGCAGTAATGAACACCCTCAAACTAAAATAGAAATGTCTCCATTTACAAGCACAGGTGATGCAATCAAATCAATCCACTGAGTAGATCCAAGTTAGGTCAACCCATGTCTCCACTTAAGG